TGTCATACTTTTTCTTAAATATGCGGCCACCTGGCCTGTGTTCTGTACAAATAATTTTTATATAGCATTATTATAGCCTCTTCGACCGGATTTGGTTGCAGATATCGGAAGCGACACTAGAACGACAATCCGCCGCACTTGCCTGTAGGAGATTTGCTGGCACCCACTCCTACGACAGAGTCGCCGAGTTGCTCTCGGACGTTTGCACAGACTACTGCCTGCCTACAGGAAAGATTACTGGCAGGGTCACGGATAACGCAACAAATTTTGTGAAGGCATTCAAGGAATTTGGCGTAACGGCCTTCGAAGAAGCGTGTGCTGCAGGTATAGGCAAGCTTTAAGAGTTGAGAGTTTAGACCTTTTACAACCAAACTATATTGTGCCTGGATTTTTTTTTTAACAGATTCCGAGGATTTTGAGCTCGTCACGTTTGAGGAGATCGAGCCCCCAGGCCCGCTTTTGTCACAGCACCTGCGGTGCGCCTGTCACACGCTCAGTTTAATCGCAACGGCGGACGTCAAGAAAGCTATCAGTGCGAACCATGCTTTGAACCGCCTCCATTCCAGCGTCATGAGCAAGTGCTCGAAATACTGGGGCGCCTCGGGTCGGCCAAAATCAGCGGAAGTCGTTACATCTATCCTTGGCAAGCAACTACCAGCCCCTTGCATCACTCGCTGGAACTCTCTGCACCACGCCTTGGACGTCCTCACCCAGAACAAGGAGAAATTACAAGACCTCTCGAACGAGCTCCAGCTACCCTCCTTGAAGTCCTCGGAGATTGAGTTTATTGAGGAATATTGTACCATACTCAAGCCAATTGCTACAGGTAGATAGTGTGTAATGCTCAACAACCTAATTAGCTCGAAATTTATGATATGAATAATAGCCTGCCACAAAGCGAAATAAAGTAGCAACGCAGGCGAGTTGGTTCATGACCTAATAAATTAAAAGCAGTGCGCAAAAAAGAAAGGACCTAAAAAAAGAACCACACAGGACGAGTGCGTCCTGTCTTGCGCGCTGCTTTAATTTCGTATGCCACAAAGTAATATACATAACGTGGACAATAATTGCTTTATAACGTGCGTGCCTTCACCTATTTTATTTTATGTCGCGCATACTAGTTCATTGTACTCACAGTTCACTCATTAATTTCAGCGCTTGATCGCCTGCAAGGAAGCAGCAACAGTGGTTACTACGGCGAGTTGCTTCCGGTGTTGTTCACGGTCTGAGCGAAGCTGGAACAAGTTCGGGAAAATTTACAAAGTCCGCACACGGAAAAGATCGCACAGGCTGCCCTGGACAGTCTGGAGAGACGTTTCCAGAGGTGGTTGTGCCTGGGTGACAAGCCAGCCATTATCGCTTCTTGTAGTTACCCGTACTTTAAGACCCGTTGGATGCCACGCGATGGTTCGCATGACATCAGCGATCTCCTTGTGCAGGCTGCGCAGGATCTGTCTACAGGGTCTACTGGGAACTGTGCGCCACAACCAGATGAAATCGACGCATTCTTTAACTTTGCGGGTCACACTCCCTCGACCGCGACGTCGAGCGCATTCAGCGTACGTTTTGAGGTGTTCCGTTACTTGCAGGACACGCGCACCTCGATCACAATGCTGCATGAGTACCCTGCTGTGAAGCGCGTCTTTTTAAGGTACAATACAAACTTAAGTTCGTCTGCCCCCGTAGAGCGCCTATTTTCCCTTGGCAGCCTTATTCTTTGCCCCAACAGGCGTCGTCTTAGCGACACGTTGTTCGAAAAGCTTCTGCTGCTGAAGTCTTACTAGTCAAAACTTGATTAGCACGCACCAAAATTACACTGTATTGAGAAGGTCTCCTCTTTAATGTTGCACTTGCCTCTATTATGTTAAATAAATGTTATTGCCAAAGTTACAATTCTTGTTTTTATGCATGTGGTTGTAAGATATAGTCTCCATCCTTTATTCGACCATGGGGCTTTTAAAGGCACTGTCCAGAGCAGGAAGAAAACTACGTTCTGCACCGAATGCAGTGTCTCTGAATCAAGCACAAGCGTTTAGTGACTGTGATTACGGTGCTAGTCGAGGGCGAGAATAGTGACGTAATCGACGTTCACAGGCAGACTGGCTAAATAAGTGCCTGTGACAACTTGTGATGCTTTCCAGCCTGATTTCCATCCATATTTTTGCCTGGAATATTCTAAATGCGCGGGTCGTCCAGATTTTTGTAACTGGTGCGAGTTGCAACAATAAAAAATTCTCTGGCTAGTGCTGCGCGCCTTGGTCGTCTCGGTTCTTTGTTGGTCTCTCTCAAAATGTAATCGACAAAAAAAGCTGCTTGAAACTGTACTTTTTTCACCTATCACGTCCAAGCTGATTACATTTTTTTTTGTGATTATATTTCTATTACGGTAATAGAGCCTCGCACACTAACTCCCGAGCGTGCGATGCAAAATTAAAATGAGATACTCAGAAACCCGTTGCAGGTGCCTTGAAGTCGCTGACGCAAATTTTTAGGAATGTATTTGGAAAAGTATTTGGAGGAGACCAAATACATTTGGTTGTATTTGTATTTTGTATTTAAATGCTTTTTGGAAATGTAATTAGATTTGTAATTAAATACATTTTGACGAAGTATTTTGTAGTTGTATTCCGATACATATTTGCATGTATTTTGCCCATCCCTGTTCGTAACGAACGTGTTGGTAGTCTCAGAAAAACAACGTGTTTTTCGTCTTTCTTTCCTTCATGCTATGTTCACACTACGGACACAACGCGCAAATCTATCATAACACACGCAAATTTAAGCGAAACAAGCGGAACGAGTTCGTTCAGAGTAACTTCAGACCACGATAGATTTAACCGGTGACAGCAAACACACTAAAAGACGTCGAGCTTCATGGCATAGCGTTTTTTGGCTCTGCTTGATTGGCCTCATTCATCTGCTACGTCAAAGACTTACAACGAAAATTAAGTTAAACGTTCATGTCGTGCAAAAACTATTTCGTTCAAGAAATGATTACAAGCTGCACGTCTTATATATGTTCTTTATCGTTTGATAACATTGTTCACGGATTGAATAAATATGCTTTTAAAATCATGGATAGCTAAAGCGATAGCTGGCTTGTGAGCCTCTAACGAAATTGCTTTGCCAACCCTTCAGCATAGAACAATGCCAGTATCAAAAATCAAAATTTGCCCAGCTTTCTCGCTCGGGTAGATGAGCTATCTGGGCTTCTGCTTCTGAGCGAAATGCGCACTGGTAGCACCGCTGGCACGTTTGCTGGCATATGTGTCAGCGAGAGCAGGCGCTGAGTGCTGAACGGGCACGGGCGAGCAGCAGAAAGGAGGAAATTAAGAGCAGCGGAAAAACATCACCGCCACGAGCCAATTTTCTAACCACACGCAAGAGCGCCGCCATTTAGTTGTTCAACTGTTGGCTTGTTCAAGATGGCCTCCGTGGGACCGCCGCCTTAAGGGCAGGATTTCGCGTAACATTTGCCTTCACACAGGTGTACTCGTGCGTGACTTCGTGGTGAAAGCTTTGATCTTTAATTTCAAATTGTTTGTCAATTTTTAACCGGGAAACCTGGTAAAGAAATTCATAACGCTTAAAGCAATAATTGATTAATTGGTAGGTTAATCAATGAAGTGCCCAGCCCTAATAACTGACACAACCACTTGACTAACTAACGTAAATGCGTTCATGAACCTGTCACGTTTTGGTGTTTTGGGGAACATTTGTGTTACACTTCTGAAATTTGAAATTAATAGGGATGGCATAAGAAGTTTTCGCTCTTATGTCACCTAAATCAGAAACTATGCAAAAAAGGTAGCAGTAAAAACGTTTCACTTTAGTAAATTGTTTTCAAACACTTGTAGTCACCAGGGGGATCGATGAACAAATTATACACGAAACAAAAAATTATAGTGTCAAAATGTTAACAAAAATTATAGCATTAAGGAATTACAAATTTAACACAAGTCCGAATTGTCATGATCGAAAATACGTTGAAGCGAAAAGATAGAAGTCGCAAGTAGAGAAAATTAGAACTATGATGATTCGTGCAAATACATTTCATAAAACATGACGATAGACCACGCACAAATGGACAGAACAGACGAGACAAGAAGGAAACGGAAGAGAACGGAAGAGAAGACTTTCTGTTATGTCCATATGTGGGCAATCTCTCATCATGTTTAATGCATACCAACCAGCCCAGCTTACTACCTTACTACATTTCATAGAAGTATAATGCTCTTCCAGTGTGCCTTGGAAAGATCTCAAAATTTAACCTGGCTAGTTTCTGCTAATATGTAAATAGATAAAAAACAAACATTAATGTATATGAACTAAGTAAAAGACAAAAGTATATGGAGTACGTATACACATCTGCTCAGACTGCCAGCAAGCTCCACTGATTTGATAAAACTGCGGTGAATGAACGCGTGACATGAGGCAGGCACAGGAGATGTCTTAGGCATATCATGGCGGGTCATAGTCCTTAATGGCTTGTTGATATGATATGATTTATCTGAATGCGTGAGCAGGTGTGAAATTGACACGGTTTGACGCACATGTTGCTTTACCGGACAGTATAACATTTATCCGCAATCTGAGGTAAGGTTGTTTCGCTTGGAATATACTTAATTCCAAGTCCGTCTTGCATGCGAGAAATACGCTTTAGATCATATCTATATAACTATCTCTTACAGTGAACAGAGTTTTTGAGTTGCATTACAACTTAACTGTCCTCAAGTTAACTGAAGGGACACCTCAATTCTTGAATGTAAAACAAAATAGCTTCATCGTTTACTTAAGTTTTAGTAAAACCACCCCCGAATAAAAAAATAGAACGATTCACTAATGATCCTCCGATTCATTCATTATGGTTGCCTTAATATTCCGCGGCTTTAAAGGAGCACTGAATAGGAAAAAAAATTGTTTTTAAACGGTGTGTTTGGAACACGCCAATCGCGAAATTAATTTTACGCGAAAAAAAATTACAGCAATATTGACGGCGCGAGATTTATTTTAGTTGCGTCTGAATTACGCGCGCAACGTCTATGACGTCACGGAATGGTCATCCGCTCTTTCCACCTGAACGAGATGGTCATACACTTGCTCCACCCCAACGTGATGGCCTCTGTTTCTCATTGCCATCGCTTCTCTCCTCCACGCACCTGAAATGCCGAGAAAGAAAACAAGTGGAAAGGAGGTGACCACCTACTAAATTGCGTCTCGCGCCGTCGGTATTGCTCAAAAACTTTTTTTTTTTTGTTTTTGCGTAAATTTCTTTTTGACATGCGCGTCCCTATTAGATTGTTTAAACAAACGCGTTTTTTTGTTTCTTTTCAGTGGTCTTTTAAGACACGAAAGAAACATATATTTATTAAAAAAAGACTTTTCGTAAATTTAGATTTCTTTTTTTTTCTGGTAGGTAGGGTTTTCAACGCCTTTATTGTGTACGACTAAATTATTCTATCGTGTTTCAAGACCAACTTTTTGTTACTAACATACACTCTTATGAAAAATTACGACGGTGTGAGGAATCATGTCGGCTTTGAGATGGTCGCTTCTTCTCGTCTGTCTTGTAGGTGAGTTGGTGTCCACTTTTTGTCGCGTTTTACATAAAGCATGCGTTTTTTTTTTTTTTAATAAAAGACACGTAATTTAACATGCAGGCCACTCTGAATAAAAGCAGATTTATTCGTCTTCATACATATAACAAGAGTCTTCAAATAAATATCTCATATATGGCGACAACTCTCTCTCCCTAAACCAGCCTAGAATGAAATGGACAACATACGCACAAAGTCTCTGAATTGGGGCTTTAGATGTATGGGTATGCATTATTTTCTTGTGTGCAGTTTCGGTGGTGTTGTCATCATAGTTTACCTAAAACAGCTCGTCGCGCCCGTTAGTTTGTTTTTTATACGTGATATTCAGTCGAGAGCTTGAACAAGATACGTATTGGCTAGACTGCACAAGATAATTTGTAGTTCAATTAAATATTGATAACAACTAGTGTTTCACCGAAAAGACTAATAGTAATACACCTACAGTCAAAGCAGGTTAAAATATTTTGTTATTTTTCAGCAGTTTCGGTGGCATCGGGAAGAGTTCACGTTGACCATAATGAAGGCAAGTAACAAAGAATCGGCTAAATCTACAGTAAGAAGTCAGACCGCGTACGACAGGAAAAAAAATCTACACGCCCGCGAAACGGAAGAACATTACAACACACTTTCGTTTACTAGTTTAGCTATCGCGTCAAAAATATAAGCATTCACTCCAATAATACGAACGTTCTGGGAAATTAGAACCTTAAACTATTGTACAGTTTCACGCACACTTGTGAACAGTGTAAGCTGAAATGACTGAGTGACGAGAGAAATGTTCCACTGGCACTGTCCCAATACATGGAGATGAACTGGCAACGAGATGTAACATGCGGAGAGGAGTGAGGTGGCCCCTGCAGACTTACTGAGCCTGTTCATTTTTATTGTTGGGGGGAACATTTAGCCTTTGTTCCCGACCACTCGATCTTGTCTCTGACTTCAATATCTTGGCGGATGTATGTCGGCCTCGGATAAATCATTTGTGAAGTGAATGAACCAGTCAAATTGACAATAACTACAAACGCGCATGGAATCGCACGTGCTTTGGAACAGCGCGCAGTTCTCCAGCATGATCAGACTGTTACTTAGCTAGCAGTAGCCACCACAGTCTGGTCTGAATGGAACTTCACGTTGCTAGTTGGAAGTTCCCGCATCGAGGCCGCACAACCTGTAAGTTATGGTCGTTGTTCGGCCATTTCATGTTAGGCAGTTTTAGAATAACGTACGCAATTTTAGCGCAGGCTAGCGCTAGTTTTTGGCACTTGCGTTAGCGCACGCTAGGCAAGGGAGTTTTAGAATAGCGTTTCTCCGATGCGACGCAAAAGTCCAAACCTCTCGCGCTTGCAACGCCACCAAGAAAGTCACAATTTTTATTTCACACACAAAGTTCTGTAACTTGAGAAAAAGAAAGCTTTTTTTCTTTTTTGGCCCTAAGAAGTAGATTTGTTTAAACCTGAAAATGCGACACGAGCGGTCGACCGGTCGTGTCCGCCTGCGTCGCCTCGCTAAGAGAGGTCTCGTGTACTGACCTTCGCCGACAAAACGTTCGCGCATCTCAAGCATAAAGCTGCCGGTGATCGTTGCCCACTATACTGGGTTTTCTTAACCAAGTGCAATGTCGTCCCGTATTAAAAATCGTAGTCAGGAGGATGCCTCCGACGTCGCGCCCACGACGCCGCGAAAGCGGCCGCAGCGATGTGTCTGGGAGCCGCCATTTTTTGACTCTGCTCGTCTTGGCTTTAGCCAACTTCTCATTACGAATCCACCTTGGAGTACCGCAAAGAGTCTTTGCGCACGCGCGTAATTTCCTAGAAATAGCGCACACTAAAATAGCGCACACTAAAATTGCGCACGCAAAGCGCAAAACGTGGTTAGCGTTCGGCGCATCCGCAGTTGCGACGACGCTATTTTTTTTTTTTTTTTGCGTACGGAAAGCTTTAGCGTGCGCTGTTCGAAAACTCCCCATTGCCTTGTCTACGACCGTGCTTGCCTGATGTATGCACGGATCGTGCTCTTGTTTTGCCTCTTACAAATTGGTGACCATCTGCTGCTCAGTAGTCTGCGCGGAAAGGCTACCCTGTAGAAAGATTACACGCTGTTTTGGTGGTGACTTTTCAACTTGTTTTTATTCGAGTACGCCCAAATATTGCCGCGCGCTTCGCCGAGCCAGCGCCTGCCTGGCCGAATGGTTACTGTTTTGGGCTTCCGCGCGTTGGCCCAAGGTTCGATTCTTGAAGCGGCCGCTTCTTTTATTTATTCTTCCAATTTAAAACGGTTGTGAGTTCGAGAACCTTGTCGTTTGATTGAGGTACGAACGTTCTGCGCCGAATGTTCCAAAAACCCACGCGGGTTCACAAGTTTGTTCGCGTGGCGGTCCGATGCCAGTCTTGCCCCTGCAGCGCTCGATCCTGCTGTTTCGCCGACATCGACGACGCGACACTGACCTTCCCTATTTTGTTTTGGGCACAAGTTCGCCTCAGTAAACGTTTAGTTTCTTCAGTGATTAGCCGCCTCATCATTTGTCATTTGTGCCGATATTTAGCAGCGACTTGTTATTTCAGAAAAAATAAGCTAACAAACGAAACCAGCAACTGGCATGCCTCGCACTTGTGTTTTATTTTTACCTATTTTTATATGTTTTGTTTTTGACGCTGGGTGCGTTTATTATTCGTGGATGCGACTGCTGTTGTAGTTAGTTACGCATTCCCGGCTTCTTAAAGTGCAATCTACACCCGGTAACAAAATAACAATATAATCAATGTTTCTAAGATATTCCTAAAGTTTTTCTGCAAAACTTAATTTTTTTTTTGTCTTCAGAAATTACCTTTTAGATATTTCTACTTTCTAGAAGACCGTGCTTGAGAATATTATTTAGCATTAAGCCAAACTAATTCTGTGCGTTGCTGAATACATCAAATACGTATGATAACACTAAATAGGAAAAACACTGTATGTCTGAGCGTAGATTAAACGAAAAAAATTCCTACCATTAGGCTGCTTGACGGAAAAAAAGCCTCTTTCAGGAGATCAATTGCCAGCCACCGGCGGACGTTACGGATTAAAAAACAACATACTGATGAACTGAATATTTCACGAAAATTTTCTAATGTTTTAATTGGTGCAAATGAAGATACGACGCCAATTAGGAAAGTTTTTATTGTCACTGAGAGCTCTTAAACCAGTAAATTTTAGAAAGACTTTGTGTCGATTGGGAGTGCGCTAAAATTACCACTCGTGAAGAAGGCACCAGGCCAATGATGCGACAATGTGAATAAGAATATCAGCCGCGTTTTCGCATCGGCAGCCTTGTGCCTGCTGCACAAAGGGATTCTTTCGTGCACCTGAACACTTCCCATGTGCTTTGGGTTTTCTGAAATCGACTGACTTATGAATCCTCAATGACGCTCGGTAAGGTTTTCACCTGCATGGAAACTATTCAGACAGTAGGTTGTAAGCTTGTAATAAATTTTACGAAGTATTTAATTGTAAATACCATTTTTGTTTGCGCGACAAAATGAAGAGCCTATGTCAAAACCTGCTATAACATGCGTTGTACACACAGTCTTCTAGACGTTACTCGAAAAAAAGTCAATATATATTACAATTAGTCTCGGTTAAAGAGGTAATAAATTAGTTTTATGATTACTGGTGAAGAAAAGTAATTGGACGCTGTTCAAATTAGTAACCGCTAATTTTCCGATTACTTCAATTTTCCAAAACGACAGGTTTTCCTTCCGGTTTGAAAACGGGTCTTTTCTACAGTTCCTTATTTGTGTAGTATCACCGAAGTATAAAGTACCATTCTTCCGAATCTACCAATTGTTTTTAATATCGTGTCAGAAGCTTGGTTTATATAGAGTCGCTGGTAGGGAACTTGTTGAAAAAAATGCGAAATTAAAAAGGAGTAAAAAATAGTGATGGTCACAAGTAATTTTTTTGTCATTTCAAAAATTATTCTTTTGCTTTTGAGATTAGTTCCTGATAAATATGTTCGAATCATTGCGGAATTACTGCAAAAAGTAATCAAATACAAGTAATACGGTTACTTGTAAGGAGTACCGTACAAATCTGAGTGTACCCTACAGCAATGAGCGGGCTGTAATACTTTGGCGATAAAGTAATAAAAATGTCTGGATGTCAAACATTGAGCAAAAAGCTCATTAATACTGCCTTTTATAAGGTTAAAACTTTATGAAAATGGAAGATCAAAAGGGATACATAAACATTTCGTTGCGTCTGAACAGAAAAACGGTGTAGAATGGCAGGCAACACTCTGTATTGTGTGTAATAAAGTATCAATATTCAAATTCAAAATTTTGGGGAGAATCGTCGAACATGCAAGCTTTGTTTCGCAGACATTACTATCTATAAAATGAGTGCCAAACTAGTCTGCTGTTTCTGCGAAGTATTACTGGTGTATTTTAATCTCGTTCAAAATAAAAGTAATGGTTTGTTAGCAAAACACGTGTCATCCGTGCTTTGATAAAGGGTTCAGCTTCAAAGTGGCCTAAACGCGTGATTATTGTAAATATAAAGCAATCAAATTCAGAGAAGCAGTGTCT